TCAAAAGCGCCGGGGTGCTGCCACTGCCGCTGCCGCTGCCGCTGCTGCTGCCTCTCTGAAGATGTTAGGCGACGGCGGCTGTGCTGCTTCCTGAGCCCACACATACTCGTAGGAGAAAACCGTGAGGCTGCCATAATTATAGCACATTCCACATGCCAGAAACAGCAACAAAACAGCAACACCAAACTGGCTGCAATCGGATGTGGCCAAGTAGGAGTCGTCGGAGTTACCCGGTTGTACAACGTATGTAGGCTGTGCCCCCCAAATGTGGGCGTCGCCTCTGCCACCAACACGGGCCCCCATACACTCTCTTCATATGCGCTCTCCACCCCCCCCGCTAGCTGTCAACGCATGATTTGCTTCCCGTTTCCATGTCCGGATCTGATGTATTAATGACATTTGCCCCAGTTTCGCTGCCCCGTTGCCCACCCCATTCTCAAATGCAATGTGGGGGCGACTGCGCCGTCGACGTCATTGTGAGCAGCTGCGACTACGACTACAACGACAACGCCAACAAGCCAAGCATCTGCTCATTCATATTCATAAATTTAACGTCTTTTTGCGTAAGTCTCGCGCAACGGAAGTTGTGCACTCTCTTTCTCTCTCTCCCACTCTTCCTCTTTCGTCTCACACTCTTCATCGTTTCAGAATCCCACACTCCCAAGCCCTACTCCAAGGTGTATTTGTACAAGGTGAAGCAGTAGCGATCAGTGTCTGCATGCTCTGGCACACTTTCTCGTCTTGTGTTTCTGCAGTGCACCGCAAGAGCGTACGTCTGTCCATGCGTCACCTTGTGTTAACACACTTTGCCATTGCACTCCTTACTCTTGCACGCCCTTTACAATGCAGCCAGACAATGTGCCGCTCTATTTTTGATGCATTCTCAGGCAGACGCGCTGGCATAGGGGTGGGGAGGCGGCAGACAACGACTGTGAGAAAGACTCGGAAGGGAAGAAGATGAAGAATTAAACAGAGACAGCAGCGGAAGGCAGGCAACAGGCTGAAAGAAAGAGCGAAAGCCAGACAGAGAAAGAGAAAGAGAAGGAGCGCCAGAGAGAGCTAAAGTTCAAAGCACTATTGAACTCAGCAAACGGAGCGCCAAACACTTTCGCCATAAATAGCGCAAAGTGGAAGGGAGACAGGAGAAGAGAGCGGCCGACCAAAGGGAGGGGCAGGAGGCATGCGTTTTATCAACGGAAGCCAAAGTCTGGAGCAAGTACAGTGTCTAGGCATGCGGAGGGGGTAGGGGACAGAGAGAGAGAGTGAAAACAAAAGTGACTAATGCACCAAGTGCGGAGCATTTCCGGTTACTTCCTGTGCGTGCGGTTGGCCCTACAAATGAGGAAGTGAGCGCGGCGCGGCTGCATTTGGTGAGTGGCAGAGCCAGAGGCAGACATACACAAACCAACAAACAAGCAAGAAAGAATAAATGAAAGAAAAGGAAGGAAGGAAGGAAGAGCGAGGAGAAGACCCTAAAGAAGATCCAACGCCCTTACGATATAAATATAAATCCCCCCCCCCCCCCCCACCTCACCCACACACCAGGGGCAAAGCAAACAAATATACGGCCAGGCCGGATATATTGTGACCATATCCGAAACCAAAAAAACTCAACGCTCCATAAGTATTACTGGGTGTGTGTGTGTGTGCGTGCCGTCCAGTGTGGATTTCATTCATTCATTCATAAACTACTTCCAGTATATAATACACCAATACATAGATACATACAAGAGAGTGTGGGGTGGGGTGGAGTGAGGATCGGGATTGGGATCGGATCGTATCTCTCCGTGTTATGTTCTGGCGATTGCATTGCGACAGTTTCAGCTCCACCCCATCCACCATCCTGAAGCTAAACGTATTGAATGGGGCTCTGACCCCATAACAAACAACGGCAAACGATAGAGATACGGATCCGTTCCGAACTTATCAGTTATAGTGCTGTCGCTGGCTGTTGTTGTTGCTGTTGCTGGGTTATGCGTGTTGAATGAAATTTCATTGATATTTAGAACAAATCTATAAAATGCAACGAAGCAAGCAACCGTTTGGGTAAATGGAAGTGAAACCACAGTGCGGTGTGGGGGAATAGGTGGAGAAAGAGCAGCAGCAGCAGCAGCAGCAGCAGCAGCAGCAGCAAAACGGAACGCCAAACGCATCTGAGGCACAACTGTGGAGCGATGACACGAGACGGACGAAGCAGACGGGGCGGAGGTGGTGACGATGGCAGAGGTGGAGGCGGTTGTTGTTGCTGTTGCTGTTGCTGCTGGCTGCATGATATTTATGAATGAATGAAATTTCTGTATATGTATGTATGGAGTGCCTCCGCTCTGTAGCATGTGTGCGTGTCGTCGCAATCGCTATTCATGTGTCTGTGTGTGTGTGTAGCATTTAATGAATGAAAAATCCGAGGCAGCGACAAAAACATAATACACACACACACATGCAGGCGCATGCACCCACACACATGGTCACACATCTACACACACTTATATATAGTCATAACGGAAGTAAACCAAACAACAACAACGGCACAAGCACAAGCACGTTCATTCAAGTCGAACTACAACGAGTGTCTAAATAAGTCGCATGAATGCTCGCTTGATTTTCGTCCACGGATTATATAGGATTTGATATGCGAGTTGCACACACGAGTACGTGTGGGCTGGCAAAGCCACATGGAGCACAAAGAACGAATGAATGAATGGAGGTCTTAGCTGTGTCCTAATACTTGATGCAAGGTACTCGTAAAAGCTGAGCAGAAGAAGCGCCTGATTTCAGTGTGGCATTTGGTTAGGGAATATCAATTAACGGATTTTCTACAGCTTTTTCCCAGCTCACAGCATTTTAAGTCGAATTTCCAGTCACAACTTGTGGCGCTTTGATTGCTTCCAGGAATGGGAAATAAGTATTTCGCATTTACAGATTGAGTCACAGCACATAAACGAAACCTATGACCAGCTGTACGTGTACAGCTATGGAAATGTATCTGGAATATACGATTGCCTACATATAGGGAGGGTAGTTTTGGCTTAGTCACTGGCGACGCTTGATGTCGCTTTCTGGCGAAACTCAATGAGTGCATCTCAAGAGCCAGCGATCAACGACCTAGCCGCAGATCGATGCTGGATTCGTAGATTAGTTACAGTTTGTTGTGCAAATATGGAAATGCCACAAGGGTCGTTACAAATGTGGAAACTTACAAGGAAAGTGCCAGCCATGACGCACGAGCTTTGCAAATATCTATGGCTCTACTCATAGAGTGTATAGTATCTGGAGGAGGTCTGGGGGGATGTGTGTGGCCTGGTGCTATTGGGAGATAAAATTACAAAACAAAAAACTGCCCCCAAAGGGAAAGTGGCGAGAAAAGTGAACAAAAACAACAACAGACCAAATGACGCACAACATTTTACAAGGTTGTCTGTCTGTCCGTCTGCGGCAGTGTAACCCATGCCATGGGGCAGGAGAGGCGAGGCGAGGCCATTCTGTACGTCATCGAGTGCTGAATGAAATCGAAATTGGCTCGGCTACGTCAGAGCCAACAAGGAAAAGTAAACGATTCCCAGCAGCATTTTCCTCCGCTCCTAATCTGTTCTTTTCTTGGCTCCTCTTCTGATCTTGTTAATAATCGACATTTGTTCTCTGTATTTAGATTGCGATTACGATTATTTATGCTGTTCGATGACGTTAAAGCTTTTGGCCATCATTTTAATTGCGCCAACTGTGCGCCTAACTATGGCAGACACTGTGGCAGAGAGAGAGAGAGAGGGAATCGCCAGAGGGAGAGAGAACAGACTCTGCTGAGAGATTTATAAATAAAATGTTGCCTTTACGAAAATAACTAAACGGATCATTATCGTCGGACATGTGCGACCCGAGTCTGGTCAATTGAAAGCCATCAAATGTCATAAAACACAGAACACAGAACAGGATTTATAAAGGGCACAGTTAGAGGTACGGGGTGGGAGGATTAAAAGGATTTTTACTATTATTTGATTAGTGTCACATTTTTGGATATTTCTTAAAGCATTTTCAAGTACCAATAGCATCGTGAAAATATAGCCCAAAAATATAACTAAATTAGTATTAAATCCAGCCATCTGCCATGCTTTTGGAGCACGTGTTTAAGACATAATTGAACCCCAAATCATATGCGATTTGGATCGGATTCAAACTGGTTCAATTTGGTGGATACTTCGATGATGATGTTGCCTTGCCTTGCCTTGCCACGGGCTGTGCCAATCTTAATTGCGCATTTAAATACAATGGAAAGACAGAAACTACAAAACTACGAAAACTACTACACAGTCACAGGGCAGGGACAAGCACAGTGCAAACTTGAGTCTCGAAACCCTCCGCGAAATAGAGGCCCCAAACCAAACTATTCTCCATGTCCATGGCGGTGCCCATCTGTGCGGCGGGTATCTGTCGGCGGCTCTGTATTGAAGCTGCGCATATTGCGCCTTTGTTATTTATTATTGTCTGCTTGTACTACTCGTGTAGCTGTGGCGGGGAAGTTGGGGGTATATGGAAGGCGTAAACGACAATGAAAACTCTTTTTTGCGCACTAGTTTTTCCCATGTACTTTACAGATGCGTGGGGAGGGGGGATGGGGATGGTAAGGCTAACCTCATGGTAATCGACAAAGACGGAAAAAAATACCTTGATTAATTATCGAATTAAAAATAGCATTCATCAAAATAACAGTAAATGTGGTTGAGGGGGGCGCGACAGTCTGGCAACGCCACATAGCAGAGCAGAGCAGAGCAGAGCAAGGGCTAACGGCGCCTAACTTTGAGAGAGTTTCTGCCTGTCTGTGTGTGTGTGTGTGTGTGTGGGAGAGAGAGAGAGACAGAGCCGCAGGCAGCAACAACAACTTGTTGCGCGTGTGGGTGAGCTTGTGTGAGTGAGAAACCAACTCAAACAGAGAGGCAGAGAGCGCCAAAGCTGTGAGTTTGTGTGTGTGTGTGTGGCCTTGTCTGGGCTCCGCTTCCCCCCTCTTCAACGCTTCGCCGCATGACCATCGTTCACCGATGTCTGCTTGGCGTATACTTGATATTTGTTGGTGCGCAAAAAGGTTCCCCAAAAAGCTTTAAAGGACCGCATGGCTGCTGGCTACTGTTGCTGCCTGCCTCTGCTCGGCTCTGCCGCTGCTGCTCTGCTCTCTGCTCTCTGCCGTTGCTGCTGTCTGTCTGTCTCTCGTTCTTTTGTTTCGTTTTGTGCCGTTCTTTTTCCTCGTGTAGGACATAACTGCATTCGAACAGCTGTTCTCTGTTGTGCTGCCGAACGAGCAGCTGTTCTGAGGCTTGCATTTACATACACAAACATACGACACGATACTGATGCAGCAAAGTCGCAGCCACTTGCCGAGAGTTGTGCATAATAAAGTAAAATTTAAACAAATTGCATTCAATACTTACAAAAAACAAAGCCATTAGACGATTATATAAGCACACATGTCGCCGACGGGGCCCCGACTGGCGCGGTGTGTGCCGTGCTGCGTGTATTTAGAGTGTTGGTGAATGTCGCTGAGTGTTGGTGAGTGCCGTTTGGGTGTGCGTGTCGTGTGTGCCAGTTTAGTTAAATGCTGAGCACACGCACTGAATAACAACAACAACAACAAAGGCAAGGGGCTGATAGGCAAGTTTGCCTTTTGCTCGTTGTTGTAATTTTTGTTCGAGTTGTTGTAGCTTACTCTGCTCTCTTTTTACCCGCTCTGCCACTTCTCTAGCTCTCTCTCTCTCTCTCTCTCTCTCGCAGCAACATTTGTGTCGTATCTAAAACATTTGCGCTTTAAATAAATATACAGAGAGCTTGTACGAGTATTATAAAAAAAAAAAAAGTAAAATAAAAAAAATACAAACCAACCAAGAAAACCAGTCTACAACAACAACAGCAACAACAACAACGAACAAATTAGTTCAATGCACGCCGACAAAGTGGAGAGGGGCTTATCAGTAGTAGACCAACAACGAAACGGCTTCTCACACCTTTTTATCTGCCTTTGTTTGGACACTAGGAAAAGCTGTTCTATGCCACTTGATTGGCTGGAAACTTTATGGCAGGAGATCAGCTTTAAATCAATTTAATTTAAATCTCAAAGTGATCAGTGATCAGTGATCAATGATCAATGATCAGTTTCATCAATCAGTGGCTTGATTGATGTATCAAATCCTGCTGCTAGATCACACAACTACTTCATCATTATCATTCCCTACATCATCATCATCATCATCATCATCATTATCATGATTGTCACTGGTACAAAGTTCATTTGTTGTTCTTGTAGTCCAGTTTGTTGTTGTTCTCTACACACACAGGCACACAATCAAATGAAATAAAAAATTGTTGATTGTATAAGTTCACCGTTTCTTTGTGTGCCATACCCATACTTATGCCCCCCCCCCACACACACACACACACACACACACATGACTGTTTGTATGTGTCTGTGTCTATGCCTTAAAAGTTTCGGGATCTTTAGTCGAAATTTATTTAGTTTTTTTTTGTGTGTCTGTTTTTTCTTGTTCTTTTTTCTTTGCTTGTTGCTGTTGTGCGAGTATTTACTTTTCCGCTTCTAATTTTAATTATTCAGTTGTGCGAGAGGCTCAAAAGTCGCCCAGAGCGCCAAGGTTTGTTTTTTAATTCTTCTTTTCGTTGTTGTTGTTGTTGTTGTTGTTGAGTGTTTCCCTACGCTCTTTTTTGTTTGTTAAATACGTCGTTCAAGTCGTTTTTCTTTCCTCAACTGCGTCGCAAAATGAGCATATTGTTTTTTTGCTCTTTTTTTTGTTTGTCACTTTGGTTGGAAGTTTTTACTGGCTAATACTACGATGGATGGGGATGGCAGTGAGGGAGGTTCGGTGCAACTAATTAATAATTACACACACACACACACACACACCAGGCACACACTCACACTCACACTCGGACGATGGACAGCAGCACACAACACAAGAGACTTGAATAAATATTCTCAATTGAAATTCACTTCACTTTGATGTTTGGTTGGTGCAGTGCTGGTGGGGGGAGGGGCAGCAGTGGGATGACGAAAATGTGTGGCCAGAGTCCGTCCAGAGGCAAGCGCCACAGAGTCGGGGCTCCAAGTACTACTGTTGTTCCGTGTTCCGTGTTCTGTGTCTGTTCACCGCCTCCTCCTTCTGGCGGCGTGCGCTGTCGGTGACGTACTGAAAACCTCACTGAATGCCTCACAAAGTTTAGTTTGACTACGAGACGGTGAAGCACACCAGCAGCAGCAGCACACACCGCACGCACACAGCGACACACAGCGAGCACACAAGAGCAACAAGTATGAATGAATGTGCTGCGCGATGCTGCCGCCGTCGCTGCCGCCAGCCGCCAGCCGCCAGCCGCCGCTGCTGCCGACACTGTGAGTGTGAGTTTGCATGTAATGGTTAACGCCATCGTGGAACACAACAACAAGAGCAACAACAGCGGCACGAAACGTAAGCAGTAGGAGAACGAACGGGCGAACGAGCGAACGAGCAAACGAGCGAGAATGTGGAAGAGTGAAGAGAGGGAGCAAAGGAGGAAAGGAATATGCCAGGCAGCAGGGAGGGACAAAATATTACAAAAACAACAGCCAGTAGTTGTAGAATTAGTAGTAGAAGGAGTAACCATTAGCTGAATGTGAAAAATCTAAAAATGTATATGCATGTTTGTACGTTCTGTGAGTGTTCCGAAAACAATAGCAAACATACTCTCACACACACAGTCGCTCCCTCCCTCTCTTTCTCTGCCTCGCACAGTCAGTCGCTCCCTCCCTCTCGCTCTCTCTCTCTCTCTCTCTCTCTGTCACATTCGGACAGCACGCGAAAAGCTTAGCTGCAAGGCGTTTGGGTATGGGTGAGCACGAACGGCGTCTGTCTCCTAAGCACAGCGAGAAATTTCATGAACGAACACGATCCGCCATTTTGCGAGTTGGCGAGCGCAGAAACTAACGGGTTTTTGCCAATGAAGTGGACTTTAAAATGCAATTTTGTGGTTTTTCATAATTTGGGACGGTTGCACGATAATACAGGAACGAAATCAGTTTAAGATGACAATGCGGAGTCGCTTGGAAAAATGGAATTAAGACTGGAAAAGAGGGAAGTTGAACAGTGGAAACTTATTTGCTATGTTTGGCAGTAGTTTAATTCTAATTTAGGAGCATTTTGAGGGTTTTGCGTTGCCTAAACTGCTTATAAACAGTTTCCGAAAGCTATAAGGGCTGTTAAAAGTCAAATTTATTTTATGGAAACTGCATCGAAGTAGTCTGATTGTCGTTTATTCCCCTGAGAAGGAAATTGTCTTAATATTGACAGCTAGTACGTATAAAATATTTAAAGAAACTCAAGTTGGTGTCTTAACAAACAGGTTCTGATGTGCTTAGGAAGTAGTTTTAAATTGAAATAAATTGCTTCATGCTAGATTATTTCAATTGCTTAGCTTTGATTTGAAATGAGCAGAAACAAAAGAACTATGAAGATTAGATCCCAGAACTGTGGACCAATTTTGGACCAAATTTTGGATTAAATTTATGAATATAAATCTACTCTAGAACTCTAGTGGCTCTGCTCTGCACCTCAAGCACTGATCATTAAAGCACTGATCATTAAATAAACTTCTTTCCGTTGCTCAAGCGCGACTTGCGATCGTAGCTCCAACATGGCGTTGGAGGTCCACCTATTTTGTGCACAGTGTAAAGACCGAGCCACACGCATACGATCAAAAGCAGCCCAAAAAAACAACAAAATCTGAAGAACAAAAAAAAAAAACGAGGAAGAAGCAAAAATTCCTGTGGCACAAGCGAGTAAGGGGTGTGGGGGGGGGGGGGCTTTATGCACACAAAGAAAGGAGAGTGAGGAGAATGCTGAATGGTGGAATGGGCAAAGGGGTGCACAGTGGGGAGGAGAGCTAGTTACGCATACAGAAACAGAAACAGAAACAGAACCAGAACCAGTCAGTGTGCCATATGAAATATGTAACATCATGCCCAATATCACAAGCGACGACGGCGACTGCGGCTCACCGACACAGAGATACAGATACGGATACTAGAACTCATTGGTGTGTGTGTGTGTGTGTGTGTGTGTGTGTGTGTGTGTCGGAGAGGGCTCTCATGGTGGTGTGCGTGTGTGTGCCTTGTGCCATGGGGGCAACATTTTCTCTAGGCATGATATTGAAAATGAATTTCAAATCAAATCAAAAAGTTCTTGCAATTAAAATAAATATTAATTATAACAACGAAACAATTGCCCAAAAGAGTTTCCACAATAAAATGGGAAAAAGTAGCAGAAATCAAGACGGGGGGAAAGCGGGCATCAGTTGCGGGCCCGCAACTTTTGGGTGCATCTTGAGGCAGGGACTTTCCCCTTATGCTGCTGCTGTGCTGTCAATCCAATTATGAATTTGATCCTAAATGTTTCGAGTTAATTAAACGCTTTAATAATAGTCCACGTGCTAGATTGCTGACGTAAGGGTCGCTCGACAGCAGCGACAACGAGCGACGCATAGGGGCGTGCACAACATCCCAATACCAACACACACACACACACACACACACACACAGTTACAATATAATTTTTAGTTAGTTTTTGGGAGCATTTCTCACACACACAACGAGCCCCAGCAAGACTCTCTGACAAAAAATTGGTGTGCAAAAATTTCTTCTCAGTTTTTGAAGAAATTTTTCACTAGGAAATTGCCACAAAATAAAGGCTAACTGTACATTATTATTACAGTTCGTTGTCCAAATGATGTCCCCAGGCCACAACCTGCACAAGGATGGGCTGCAAATTACCTTTTGGGTTCTTTGAAAAATTTTAACTTTTGGAGAGCGCATCACGTGGTCAGCTCTACACAAGGCCGCTCTCCCCCCCGCCGCCCCACAAGTCCCTCTGCGGTGAGCCAAAAAACCCCACTCTCCCACACACACACCAACACGCTTGAGAGAGAGAGAGAGAGAGAGAGAGCGCGCGGCAGAGAAAGAGAGCACCCGAAATTAGCAATAATCGGCAGCCAAAAGCAAAAACTAACGAGCGCAAAACGCAAATAAAACAAAATGGCCGGCAGGTGTAGAAATTCATTGACGTGTCTCACATTTCTCACCATTTCAGCCATCTTTGCGCCCACTCCCCAGTGCATCTTTTCCATGGAAACGAAATAAATGGAGTCCAAGAATGATGCATTATCAGGCTATCATCTTTCGTAGATCGCTAGCGCCATGCTGTTCAGGGCAACGGTTCTTAGTAGACCCCATACAAAATGGCGTCTTCGCGAAGAGACACGAGGCAACGCGATCGTTTCTTTTACACATTTTTGTACAGTTTTCCCACAAATTGTTCAAGCGATAATTGATGCGAGCTCTTGGGACATTGAAACAATATCATTTTGGTTAAATATATCGAATATATTGCTCCATGGCACTTAATATTCCTAAAGTTCACCGAAAAATATTATTCACTTCACTCAGAAATTGATTTGAATCATTTTCATCGCTGAGGAAATTGCAGGAGGAAATAAAAACCATTGAATCAACTACCCTTAAAGGCTGCCCTTAACTCTGCAACGAAACTCAAGAAGTTCTAATCAAAATGTATCTTGTAAAAATCTGCCGAGTATCAGTCAAAACTCCAAGTTGTTTGCCCTCTTCTAACTTATCGCTTGACTTTGCAGATTGCTCTCTCCAATCTGATCCAATTCGAATCATCAAATTAATTTGGCTTGCAAGTGTCGCAAGTGGGTTCTGGCATAGTTGCATCGATTAGGCATTTAATCACATTTGACCTCAATTGTTGGCATGTGCAACACGCTGCATTTGCATCCGCAAGATACAAACATCAAACATCAAGCAGCAACCGGCCACCGGCAACCGGCGACAGCCTCCATTAAAATGCCCCACTAACTGCATTCCAAGAATTTACAAGTCAAAGATCGAATGTGCCCCGCTCAAACGATAGTGCCCCTGCACCATCAGCAGCAGCAGCCGCCAGATGCATTGTGTCTGTAGAGAGGCAGAGGCAGAGGCTGGGACTCTACTGGGACTGGGACTGGGTGCACCAGGGCCACCGAGTCAGCGATCAGCAGACAACAAAGACTCAAATTGAATAAATAAAGCGCAAGATTTATGCATACAAAATTAATAAATTGAAATAAATGTATTAGGTTCCCAAGCGATCGCAAGTGCATCGAGCATTTTATTTGTCGATGCGCCCTCTGACCAACTTTGGTTGTGGTTCTAGACTTTATCTGTGGTGGGGCAGAGAGATTAACACAAACACAGAGACAGAGACAGATACAGATGCAGAGATACACGCGAAGAAACCCAAAAAGGAATTACAGTGCGAGAAACCAGATATGAATTATGTGCGATAAGAGCAAAGTGCATTGGTGTCAAAACGAAACAACAGAAAACAAGAATGGAGTGCAGAGTGGAGAGTGGATTGGATTGGATTGGATTGGAGTGGCAAGCAGCAGCGAACTGCACATGCTCTCCATGAGCTATGGCTCTGGGAAAGGTGTGGAAAGATTTACGAGAAGGGCAGATAAGACCAAGTGGCTGCAGCAGAGCAAACCTCAGGGCAGCGATTGATCCCTGTTGGCTTTTGATCAAATCATTCTGAAAGGAGCAAAACTCATTGGCGACTGATGTAAAGGGAGTAAAACCAGTAAGAAGTGCTGCCAAGTGGGGAAGAACTACACGATAGCTGCTGATGTACCCTGCCTCAAAGTTAGGGCATGCCCACCAAGAATGGAGAGCGTGGCTGTGGCTGTGGCTTTTCGGAAAGGCGGAGTGATGAAATGTGCAGCGGTGCCAGACCAGACCAGACCAGCAGCAGCAGCAGCAGCAGAGACAAGCAGAGGCAGCGGCAAGTTTTATGAATGAATGAATGCAACTGCAGCGACGGCAATGGACGGACTCTGCAGTTGCCTGGGAGCTGCTGCTGCTGCTGCATTTTGGCTTGTGAATGGCAAACGTTCGATCGAACTATTGTAATTACTACGAGACTATGCAAAATGCATATGCAATTAGTTGCTGCAGCTCGCTGTGCCCCAGCCTCCCACTGTCTGAGTCATGGGGCAACTGGTTTGACTTGGCCTGAGAACAAGTACAAGTCGGAGTCGGAGTCTGAGTACTCGTCTGAGTACTTGCTGCAGATGCTATGAACTCATTCGATTGGAATGTCCACTGATGACGAACTGCGGAGGAACTCTTGTGCAATTGCCTCCGCTAACCTGTTTTGCCTGCCACTTGGGGATGTATCTTGGATGGGTAATTGCAGCAGTATCTGCCAGTTGTAGATTTAATATTCGTTTCTTTCAGTTACAGCTGTGGAGCCCCCCCACCCCACACTCAGATTCCTCTAGCACCTCTTCACGCTTGTGCGACACAAGCCTGAAAATTCCAATTCCAGTTCCAGTGCCATTCAATGCCTTTTGTAAGCCAAGCCGTGAGGCGGGTAGAGATGAGTTCAATAATGAAACGACGCCGAATGCCATCAATATGGAAAAGAATATAAATTTGTGGCCTATCAGTGCCGGAGTTTGGGGCGGGGGATAGCCCTACAACTGATAATAATGTCGCCTGCGAGAAATTCCTTTAGCGGCATTTAAGGCCACTTAATTATGGCCTACCCTGGCCTTAAGAAAAATATATAAAAGCCGAACCCAATCCGAAATTCCAGGAATTCTCGTTCGATTTCGACTCTGACTCTTGTTAAATATCCAAACTGCTGTATTTGTACATGTCGCAGGTTGCCCCGCACTCCACTCTGCCTGCATGGAGTCCACTTCACGTTGCTTTTTATGGCCCTGGCCTAGGATGGTCGCTCGACGCTGCTCTACCAATTGCCAATAACCGAGCGGAAGGCCGGACGATGGACTCTGCTTTGCCGGAACATCATAATCCCATGACCACAGAGAGAGAGAGAGAGAGAGAGAGAGAGAGAGATCGAAGCTTCTTGCAGCGTTCGATGAACCAATTAGATCAAACAACTTGCAGCCAGCCAGCCAGCCAGCGAGAAACTGGGTGCAACAATACAACAACAAGGAATGAGATGGAGAAACCGAAGCTACAGATACACTGAAAGAACAGTCTGTGCAGTTCTTGGCTCTGCCAAAATATAAGCAAAATGCAGCAGAAAGTCATGCCGGGGAGCCACTTTCCATAGCCACAGCTAAGTACACTCTCCACCCAGAAGTTCTCATCCAAAACTCAGCATACCCAACTGCTTATAGGGTACAAAGTGGAAGTGGATGGAGCAGAAATTCTTAACGTACCTCGCTCCGGTGCACGGGAACGGTCATCAAGTCAGCTCGTTCAACATTCAAGAGGCATCGATGATAATATTCATTCATTTGATCAAACCGCCGACGATGTTGTCGACGAGCCAGGCCAAAGACGACTTTCATTATGCCCTCAGCCTCAGCCTCGGCCTCTGCCTCGGTCTCCTGCTCTGCTGCTGCTCCTTCTTGGCCCAAAACCAAATTCGAGGCACTGAGCGGGGGGAAACTGAGAAAACATATTGCCAAAGTAGCAGCCACAGCGAAACCAGCCACAGTACACAGCAACAACAGAAACAACATGGCAAGAAGCTCAACAGCAGCATTATGCATCATTACACTGAGAGAAAATGCAAGCGGCGGGAGTGTCCGAGAAGCTTCAATTGAAAAAAAGAATTATGAACAAAGAGGCAGATCAGTTTTCCTCAGAGTTTATACTAATTTCCATTAGGGATCTCGCGGGAAATGGCTCAAGGCCTTGAGGCCTAACAAATACTACAAAAAATAAGCACAGATCCATCCCATAATTTGTGCTCACAGATCATCTGGATCCTTGCTTTTACTTCCCCGAAATATGGATCAATTGTCGGCTTTTAAAAGTGAAACTTTAATTGAACTTTAATCAGTTCAAAATTTAAAGGAAATATCCCTAAGATAATCCCTGGGGTAGCAAGGAAAATTCTTATTTTGATTGGCAGAATCCCATGGTCTCACATCTCTTGCCAGCATGCCAGCTTGCCCCCATGGCTTTTCTCTCAGTGCACACAATCGACACATTCACTTATAGGTCTCTCAAAATCGATGAGAAAAAGGAATATGTTGAACGGGTGGCGGTGGCGGTGGCGGTGGCGCGGCGTTCGGTTGTAGCACGGCTCAAAACTGCTGTCCGCTTGTCCGCCACAGCCACACACGGACACACACGAACACGCACACACAAGTACAGTGCATGTGTATGCAGACGAAGCAAAGACCTCTTTTTAATGTATTGCAATTCCAAGAATTTCGGAAGAGGAACGTGAGAAACTTTGTTTTTGTTATTTTTCTTTTCTTTGCATTTCATTTCAAGATACGATGCCGATCTCCGTGTCTCGCCCCCGTCGCTCTACCTCTCTCCCTCTACCTCTCCCTCTCTCTCTCTTTCTGTTTACCTCGCCAGGGTCCAGGTTTTTGGGAGGGAGAGGAGGCAGTGCCAGCCTGGAATGGGGTTTGGCGGAGTGCTTCGGTTCGGCTTCGGCTGCGGTTCGTTGTCGTCTCCTACATCAGGTTTTTGGCCAGGAACGAGACGTAGACTCTGCCGCAGTCGCAGTTGCAGCATGCCCCAGACCCAGACATTCATATTGTATACACTTAAAATTCTTTGTGGAATTTCGGTGCAAACTGCACTCGCGGCTGGCTGGCTGGCGGGGGGTGGGGAGACTCTCAAGCCTGAAGAGTGGGCCAGGCCAGGGCAGGGCAGGCCTGTCTGTGTCTGTGTGGCAGACTTGGCTAATAAAGCCGGCGACAAGAGAAAGCCAAATTCCAAGAGAACAACATTGTAGCACTTGGGTGGTGCAGCAGGCAACCAAGGCAACCGCTGGCGGTGCTGTGCTGTGCTGTGCTGGTGGTGTCACCACCCGAATGGCGGGGAGCAGCAGGAGGATCTCCTTCATCGGAGTCTCGCATTTAGTTATTCTGTTTGCTTGCCAATCGCTGCTGCTGTCGCTGCTCCTTCGCCTGGAGTGGACGCGCCATTCCCTCCCCCCCCTGCACCGCTTCTAGCCCCTGACTTTTGCTGCGATTTGTGCGTGCGTGTGCGGGGCACATTTCTTTTTGGGATGCCGCGGCCAGCGGCTGGGGCTGGGACTGTTGTGGATGCCTCCGGAATGTGCATAATTTTAGTTGTTGCCTCTGCTGGCTGGAGTACCCATTGAGTGGGGAGTAGGCAGAGGATTGAATGTGCAGCAGGTGAGGGAATAGATTCAAGATTTTTCAATGAAATGTTTTTAATGAAGGATTCTAAATGATTGTATGCTGCAGATTGTCCCCTGACTTGCATCTATTTTTGCAGGATAAACCTCTTGCAGCAGCAGCATTTTTTCGGCATTTACTTGCAGCAATTTCCTTCCGCAGCTCTGCCCGCGACTTCTTTTGGCTTAGAGTTTGCTTCAAATTGATCAATCTAAAACTGAAAATATATCTGCCTGGACAACCCTCTAGCAAGCTCTGCCATGCACAGCTTTGCTGCACTCCCACAGGGTATCCCTTGGCCCATGCCTGTGCATGGGCCAGCCAGAAGCATTCTTGGGCTCTTTCGTTTTGTTTTCTTTGCTTCTCTTTGCTCTTGTTGTTGTATTTTGGCTGGTTTGTTTTCTTTGTACCTTTTGCTGTGTGGCAGCAGCGACAAAATAGCAGAATCCTGTTGCCTGATCGTTAACAAGATGCCAAGACAACGGGCAGAAGGGGGGGCGGCAGCAAAGGGTGGAGACATAAGGAGGCTGGCAGCAGATTGGAGGAGCGAAGTGGACTGGGGATGTGTGGAATCTGTGGGAGCTTCGAAAATGTTGGCGGCAGCCAAATTAAATAGGCGCAAGCGCTTTGCTTTTGCTTTGCTTTTGCTTTGAGTTAGCCACGAGTTGGGTTTGAGGTTTTGGCTGAAACTCAGAATGGGATTTCCAGCAGGCAGCCTTGTGGGCCTGTTCCTGGTTGTTCCAGAGTTGTTTGCGAGTTGATTGTCCTCTCACCTCAAGTTTTTGGCTTGGAATGCTGCCGCACGGGAAGAGAGAGAGAGAGAGAGAGAGAGAGAGGGGGAGAAAATCTGTTCTCACCTCAGCGAAAGATGAGCACGAGACCGCGGGGTGGCAGGGAGAGGAAGCCCAGGATTGAGCGGGTTTCTTCTTGTTTTTCTTTTGAATTCGCTTCTCGTCTGTGTGTGTGTGTGTGTGTCTGCTGTTCATTATGATTATTCTGTTGGACTGTGCAAAAATCCGCACATAATCCGGCAGAACCAGTAGAACAACAACAAGTAAGCAAAAGGACTTGGTCGCTCGCCGATCGCATGGGGGAAGGCGCAAAAATATCCCTTTCCTTTCCTTTCCTTTCCTCACTTACATACCACAACCTCTCCAGGCCCTTTGTGTCTGTCTGGGTTTGGGTTTTTTTGCCTGGCTTTTGTCCTGCTCAACGCATTCGAATTTTCCCAGAAATGTTAATTATAATACACACACAAAACCCAACATAATTACTCGCCCTGCCTTGCCTTGGCATATCCTGTTTATGGGGAACCACTCGCTGGACCCTGGATCGGTTCCACGTCCAATCCCGTTTTCGCACTGCGTTTGCTTAATGCGCCAAATAAATTTGCATGCCATGCACAATTCCTTCTGTTGTTCTTCATTAATGCCGCTGCCACTGCCTCTGCGCTTTATTTATTGCGAATTATTTTTCAACCATTTTTACCCTTTATTTTTGGCATTTTTTGGAGGGCTTTGATGCTGGTTTGATTGGTTAAAAGGGTTCCACGGAAGGAAAACTAGAAGTACCCGTTTACTAGCAAAAATACAAAAATAAATTACTTCTCTTTTTGGGTTTTTTGGAAGCCCTAAAAAGTAGGGCCATCATGACTAACGGAGTGTTGAGGGGCTCTCCTTAGACTACAAATATCTATGATGAAATGGAAGCATGATGAAGAGGTTCCTAAGATATTTATAGATGTTCAAGGAACTATTTTGGATAATCACCGAAGTAAAGAAGTAAAAGTAAAGAATACAATTCTGAAATTCACTAAAATCAATTGTAGATATAATAATAAACCCAAAATTGTAATGAATATTATTGAAAATTGACAAACTCCATTACATAATGAAGCAATAAACGATTGTCAGAAAATTGAAGCGACATTTTCTAATCAATATTCCATATTCCAAATTCAATATTCAATAATTAATTGCTTAATTGAGTCGAAAAAATTGGGAGAACGGCAGTCGGAAAAACAAAACGAATGCAAGGCAAAGGCAATAAAAGTTTAAACAATTTGTTACAACGCAGTTTTTAGGTTTTTTTTCTATAGAAATGTATAAAACCGCCATTATGTTTTTTTTTGCCTCCCCCTCTGGCCCGCTCTCAATCATTCCGCTGCCAACAACAACGGGTGAGAGCGAAACCCTCCCACTTTGCGAGTGTGCCCCGCCGAAAAGCAGCGAGCGCCAACAAGCAGTGTGAGAGAGGCGGAGCGGGGGGGGCGAGAATGTCAAAAGCTAACAAAAAGCCTAACGATGTCTCTCACTCATACAAGCGCACACACACACACATGTCCCCACACACACGAAATATGCCAATTGATCGCTCACTCACTCGCGCGCTCGCTCGCACACTCTTGCGCCAATTTATCACCTATTCTCTGACACACGATGCCTGCCGCTGCCGCTGCCGCCGCCACTGCTTTGCTGCCCAGTGCTCTCTTTCAGGCACATGCATACACACGTATGCGCACGTATGTATACCAATGCAAATACTAATCGCTGCGGAGCGACAAAAACAAAAGCAACAAGCACGCAGCGACAGCGAAACTTTTGATACTCTCTTGCAGATTTACAGTTGCCTCTTGGGTAGCAAAAACGTGCACAATTTCAGGTAGAAGTTTTGTAAATTGCGGTTCTAGCAAGAAGCAGACAGACAGCAAAAGATGCTGAGCTCGAGTATACTCTTCGTTTAGTTTCCTAATTGATTCCCAAACATCTTATTCGAATATTAGTACTCTCTGCAAAGGGTATTTATGTCTGTAAGTTTGTACGTGTATTGCGCAGATACGCGAGCGTGAGATTCGAATTTTGTTGGAGTAGCATGAGGTGGTTAGGTTGGTTGCGGGGAGGGGGCAAGTCAGGCAAGCGGCAGATCGAAGAGCAAGACGGCAAGCTACAGAGGCAGACTGTTGGAGAGGCAGTTGGTGGTAAAAGAGGGGGACCACCTAACGCCACCCTTGCCAGCAAAGCGATAATGACGAGGCAGCGACTGTACGGTAGAGGAGAGGAGCAGCAGCAGCGTGAAGGGAGCCCAGAGAGGGAGAGAGAGAGAAAACCAGTTGTGGTGGCACGTCGCAATACCACATTCCGTACGATAGAGGTTAGACCTCCGCTTATTTCATTCACAATTTTCCAACGTTGTTCTTTTTGTTGTACGAGTATCTGCAGCAGTGGCAGTGGCAGAGACAGTGGCAGTGGCAGCGGCAGAGACAGCAGCGTCAGCGTCAGCGTGTGTGGGGGCCGTTGTCTGCACATTTTGGAGTTGGCGCTTGGCATGCGACACACAGAAAAGGAAGGGGAGAGAGAGAAAGAGCAAAGAGCAGCAGAAAGAGAGTGGAAACAGGCGC